ACACCATTTCCAGATAGGAGCATTAGAACAGGGGTGAGAAGCGCTGGTAACAGGATGACTAGAAATATCTCACCAAAGGATGTTTTCCCCACTAATTTCTTTCAGGAAAAAGAGGGGATTCATCACTGTAATGGGGCACAGACAGTAATAAAAATCTGTTCTAATCCTTCTCCACTCTATCCAAAACTAATTTATATTTTAAATTGCCACTTTTTTAACATGTTCTGCTTAGCAGAGAGTTAAACGACTTTACGTTCATTGCTGCCTATTAAAAGAGAAGTTTGGGGTTTTAAAAAAACTAACAGTTATACTTAACCTCCCTGTCGGTATTCCCGAGTGTAGCTCGGGGTAAAGTTTCAGTACCAAAAGCGGTAACTCCGAGCTATACTCGGGCTTACCATGCGGCATTGCTCAGGGATTCCCTGCAGTGCTTACCTTGTCCTTCGCTCCTACGATGCGTCCATTGCAGCGTCCCCGACCATCTCCTCCGGCCGATGCCGGCATCCGGCTTCCGTGTTCCGGTCCTTGCGAGCATCGGGATGTACGGGGGCCGGAACCGGTGGCAAATTTTAACATTTTAGAAACTGTCATTTTCTAATAAACGAATATGACATAGTAAAACATTACTGTTTCAAAGCATTCCACATACATTTTGTCCCTGCTGCTTTGTCCTGTGCCCTGCCTGCATTTTGACTGTTCTTTCTGCCTGGAAACTGAGAAAAGTCCATTGTGTCCAAAAAGTGTCGCTTTAGGTCAAAAGCAGTTTTACACCAGCTAGAGAACAGTGATAGTAAATCAGAACCACTTGCAGAATTGAATGATAATGATTTGTGGGGAAACACTGAAAACTATTCTGCGACTTTGCTCAGTGATGTGCGAACTTGGTGCTATATTTCAGATTTCAGTGTTTTTGGTTTGAATATATTTTTGAATTAAATTTATTATTATTAGATTATTTTTTATGATTATTTATTAAATTATAATTTATGATTTCGTGTTTCAAGTTTTATCCTACCCGAAATGTTTACTAGACTCTTGTTCGGACAGATTTCAGTGAGCTATTCCTAAAAATTACAGGTCTACAATAAAAAAAATACGTATTTCCATGCCAAAAAATGTACCGCTTTCAGCACAGAAATATGGACATAATCATACCGCTAGGGAGGTTAACTAGGTGGGTGCAGTATCAATCTGATACTGCAACTGTCACTGCATTCGTTTTCTTTTTTTGGCTTTCTTTCCTTTTGTTCACCTGGTGATCTAGCTAGTATGTCTGCTGTTTTTCAGCAGGACAAGCTGCACTGCAGATATAGCAGTTGTAGGGTTGAGACAAACCATTTAAAAGAGAAGTTGAGGTTTTTTTTGTTTGTTTGTTTGTTTTTTGTAAGAAATCATACTAACCTAGATGGGTGCATCATCAGTCTGATGCTGCATCTGTCCCCACCAGCTCTAAGACTGGGAACTGAGAAATCAAAACCACTGATCGCTCAGTTCTCAGCGCTATATGGGCAGAGAGCCAGTGACTGTCAGTCACCTCTGTCTGCTCTATTTATACCCCCCCACACCCACTGGAGAGTGCTGGGCTGTGGAGGGGGAGGGAGCAGCTGGCTTAGGCTCTCAGTGGATCGCTGAGAGGCTGAGCCAGGTCCTGGTGGATCCCAACTTTAAAGTCGGTATCTTTCCCCAGCCTGGACCATCTGAGTGACGTCAGACGACAGTGGACTTTAGCCTGCTGTCAGATGAAAACAAGTCACAGGAGTGCAGAACGAACTGCACTCCTGTGATCCACAGAAGTAGAACCAAACAAGCTTTGCTTGTATTTCTCCTTTAACACTGACAAAGGCGCTTACAATGATCAGCTTTTATTTATGTAAACCCTTTATCCCAAAAGGAACAAAACTGTTGCTGTAACTACATATAAAGTATTAGCTAGAGTTTGGGCTCAATTTGTTATTATATCTATCATTCCCTTCCCCCTAGACCAGCAATGGGCAAACTACGGCCCGCGGGCCGTATACGGCCCGGCGGACCTTTTAATCTGCCCACGGAGCTAGGCTCCCGCTAGGCTCCTCTCACAGTCCGCCCTGAAGACCGGTGTAGCATGAAAATCTGTCTCCTATGAGGATCTGTCCCCCTCGACGTATCTGCGCATGTGCCGGAGATCGCCGATCGGCTGCTAATGCCTATAACTGGCACATGCGCAGATACGTCGAGGGGGACAGATCCTCATAGGAGACAGATTTTCATGCTACACCGGAACGGCGCGGGGCGAGAGGAAAGCGCGGAGCAAAGGTAAGTGAATTGACACAGGGGGGACTTGGGGACTTAATATGGGGGATGAATTAATATGGGGAATGAATTACTATAGGGGGGATGAATTACTATATGGGGGATGAATTAATATGGGGGATGAATTACTATATGGGGGATGAATTAATATGGGGAATGAATTACTATATGGGGGATGAATTACTATATGGGGGATGAATTACTATATGGGGGATGAATTACTATGGGGGATGAATTACTATAGGGGGGATGAATTACTATATGGGGGATGAATTACTATATGGGGAATGAATTACTAAAGGGGGGATGAATTACTATATGGGTGATGAATTACTATGGGGGATGAATTACTATATGGGGGATGAATTACTATGGGGGATGAATTACTATATGGGGGATGAATTACTATATGGGGGATGAATTACTATGGGGGATGAATTACTATAGGGGGGGGATGAATTACTATATGGGGGGGATGAATTACTATGGGGGATGAATTACTATATATAGGGGGATGAATTACTATGGGGGTGAATTACTATGGGGGATGAATTACTATAGGGGGGATGAATTACTATGGGGGATGAATTACTATATGGGGGATGAATTACTATATGGGGGATTAATTACTATGGGGGATGAATTACTATATGGGGGGGGGGGGTGAATTACTATTGGGGATGAATTACTATATGGGGGATGAATTACTATGGGGGATGAATTACTATATGGGGGATGAATTACTATGGGGGATGAATTACTATATGGGGGATGAATTACTATATGGGGGATGAATTACTATAGGGGGGATGAATTACTATATGGGGGGTGAATTCATTGAATTACTATATGGGGGATGAATTACTATATGGGGGATGAATTACTATGGGGGATGAATTACTATGGGGGATTCATTACTATATGGGGGATGAATTACTATATGGGGGATGAATTACTATGGGGGATGAATTACTATGGGGGATGAATTACTATATGGGGGATGAATTACTATGGGGGATGAATTACTATGGGGGATGAATTACTATATGGGGGATTAATTACTATGCTTACTATGGGGGAATATTACTATACTTACTATGGATGACACATACACATCTACTCTTGGTCCGGCCCCCGGGTCCAATATATGAACCCATTGCGCCCTCAAGTCAAAAAGTTTGCCCACCCCTGCCCTAGACTGACAATGCTGCTGTCCAAAGAGGACCCTGTGCTCCTTCCTGCACAGTGGGGGGGCACTCTAATACAGGAGGTGTGCTACTGGCCAGATCACCAGGTGAAAACAAAGAAGTAAAGACAAATAGTAAAATAAGTACACTAATACAGCCACCACATCTAAGGATTAGTAAACTGCAATATTTTACATTTTCAGATTGGGTTTAATACCGCTTTAGCCACTTGCTCTCCAGAAGATATACCCTGCTTCCTGACCAGGCCATTTTTTGCGATATGGCGCTGCTATACTTTAACTGACTATTGCGTGGTCATGCAATCTATCTCTATCTATCTATCCATTCAGTCGTATCCGACCCTTAGCGATTGGATGGACCGTCACTTTTTCCATGAATTCTCTTAGCAATTATTTTACAGGGTAGGTGGTCATACACCCAAATTAAATGTATGTAATTTTTTTCCCCCACAAATAGAGCTTTCTTTTAGTCATATTTGATCATCTCAGAATTTTTTATTTTTTTGCGTTATAAACAAAAAAAGACTGACAATTGTGAGAAAAAAACATTTTTGACTTTTTGCTATAAAACATCCAATAAAAAACTAAAAAAATAAAATTTAGGCCAAAAGGTATTCTGCTACATGAAAGAATCCCAATAGTTGTATATTAATTGGTTTATGTGAAAGTTATAGCATCTACAAATGGCGGTATATATACTGTATTTTTTATTTATTTTTACATTTATACTAGTAATGACAGCAATCAGCAACTTATAGCAGGACTGTGGGACTGCGGCGGGCATTCTGACACTGGGTGGAAACTGACTAACTGCCACTGACATCTCCAGTGCCACTAATACAGTGATCAATGCTAATAAGAAACACTGACACTGTACTAATGACACTGGGCAGGAAGGGGTTAACATCTGGGGTGATCCAAGGGTTAACTGTGTGTTATGCAGGCCATAGACGGTTCGTTTATCGGCCGATTTTTCATCCAAAAAACAAAACATCGGTCATTCTGTTGCCACCAATGATTGCGAAAATCGGCCATTTTTTGCAAATTTTCCAGCATGACCGATAAAAGAAATGAGGAAGAACCGCGAAAATTGGCTGATGACATTGCCCCCACTAACGGTGCGAAAATCGGCCGATTATTCTTTTGGACGAAGAATCGGCCGATAAACGAACCGTCTATGGCCAACATTAGGGAGTGTTTTTATTATGTACTGTGTGCTGTTTTTTCTAAGGAGACCTGCTGCTTTCTATCTCGCTGCTGTGCAGAGAGATAGAAAGCAGCATGTCCATGCTGAGAGGAGAGACATCTATGTTGTTTACACCCAGATCTCTCCACTCTCAGCTTCGCCAATGATCACAGAGTCCCGGTCAGGAATCGCCAGCCGGGACCCAGTGATTGACATCCTCAGGAGCCAATAGCAATGCTGATTGGGCGGAGCGCATGCTCCCCCTACCCGGAAATGCAAAATCACGTATATTTACTTAATTTTGAACAGCGCAGCCACCCTGTAGCATGCTGGAGCTGACAGGGGAGAGATCTGTATTGTTTACATACAGACCTCTCCCTGTCAGTGTTCCTTGGCGATCGCTGGGTGCCGATGGGGAATCTCCAGCCGGGACCTGGTGATCGACAGCTGTAGCCGCCAATGTCAGCGCGGGTAGGGCGATGTGCGTGCGCCCCCTACCCAGAAATGAAATGCAAAAATCACATATATTTATGTGATTTTGAACAGCGCAGTTGCCCCTGTAGCAGTAAATCTGCTATGGGGCGGTGGGCAAGTGGTCAAAAAAATAAAACCAAAGCCAGCTTGCAAAGGAGGACACTGTAATATTATCTTTTTAGCAGGAGGTGTGTTAAATCATCTCTCTCATGACCTCTGTTGTGCACCAGTTCCTGGTATGTCAGAAATCGGGGTTATTTACTAAAACAAACATGCAAAATCTGGTGCAGCACTGAAAAGAAACCAATCAGCTTCCAGGTTTTATTGTCAAAATGTAATTGAACAAGCTGAAGTTAGAAGCTGATTGGCTACCATGCACAGCTGCACCAGATTCTGAGTGCACTAGTTTTAGTAAGTCTCCTCCAATGTGTCTGTGCTGGGCATTGTTGTTCCTCCTGCCACCCCCTAGAACAATAGAGAACAGCAGGCTGCCCCCCACTCCCATTTTCAATGGTGGGGTCTCTTTCATTTTAGGTATAGTGATTATTGCAGAGCAGGAGTTTTGATGAAGAGAAGCTGGACAATGGCGCAGATTCCCGACAGACACCACATTCCGTCATTGTTTATGTTGTTCTCCTGAGGACAGGGCATACAGGAGTATGTTACATTCAGAAAGGATGGGTGCTATTCCTAAACCATGCAGTCACCAAGTGTGAAGTGTGCCACACAAAAGGGACCAGTACATGACACCAAGCAAGCAAGGTACCAATTCTACTGCCATCAACCAGAAACAGTGGGAGTTTATTGTGTCATATAAACTGTAAACAACTTGGCTGTTGTAACAAATATAACACAACACGTAAAATGCAAAGATACCCGACTACGCTGCACACAGCTTCCAGCCTAAAAAACTACAAGTGCAATGTGCTGGCCATAACAGTCATGGGCTACTCCTCCTGCTCTTCCTCTTCACTGTGTACATCCTGCTGCATGAAAAGTGGCATCCTCAATGTCCCTCCAGACGTGCCCACTCTAGGGTCTGTTTAACCACCTCCTGACTGCTCGCTCCAACTCTTAAGTGGACTTTTAAAATGTAACTTCACTTGTGTTGAGAATAAAAGAAAACAATCCCCTCAAGTGATCTGTGTACATTGCAAGGATTTAACAAACACATTTAGTAGTGTCCTGTCTCTTTTTATTCTGAAGAAAAAGCTGTTCCACTATGCCTTTGTAAAACTGACTCCTGGCTGGGAGGGTCTGTGTTCATTATAACCACTTGGTGCACTCTCAGTGTTCTTTAACCTCCCTGGCAGTATGATTATTTCAGATTTTTGGTGCTGAAAGCAGTACCATTATTTTGCATGGAAATTTGGCATTTTATATTGTAGGCCTGTAATTCTTAGGAATAACTTACTGAAATCTGTCCAAACAAGAGTCTAGTAAACATTCCGGGTAGGATAAAACTTGAAACACAAAATCATAAATTATAATTTAATAAGTAATCATAAAAAATAATATAATAATAATACATTTAATTCAATAATATAATCAAACCAAAAACACTGAAATTTTAAATATAGCGCCAAGTTTGCACATCACTGAGCAAAGTCGCAAAAATCGTTTTCAGTGTCTGATGACAAATTTCCCCACAAATCATTATCACGCAATTCTGCAAGTGGTTCTGATTTACTACCGCTGTTCTCTAGCTGGTCTAAAAACCGCTTTTGACTTAAAGGGACGCTTTTTGGACGCCATGGACTTTTCTAAGTTTCCAGGTAGAAAGAACAGTCAAAATGCAGGCAGGGCACAGGACAAAGCAGTAGGGACAAAATGTATGTGAAATGCTTTGATACAGTAATGTTTTACTATGTGATTTTAGTGATTTTTGTAAATGTCACTTTTTATCATTTTCAAATTTTCCGCCATTCCGTCCCCTGTATGTCCCGACACTCGCAGAGGACGTAACCGAGATGACAGATGCCGGCATTCGTTGGATTACATTGCCGGGGACTATGCAGGAGGGACATCGCAGGAGCGCAGGACAAGGTAAGTGATCGAGGGATCCCGGAGCAGCGCCGCATGGTAAGCCCGAGTGTAGCTCGGGGTTACCGCTTGTGGTACTGAAACTTTACCCCGAGCTACACTCGAGAATACCGCCAGGGAGGCTAAGCTGTTCCCACCCATGTAACACATACACGCTCCGGCTAGGGTTGCCACCTCATCCCTTTAAAACCGAGCATATATTAATTACACCGGTTCTGAAGTTAATTTAATGCAGATAAAGCACTAATTCAGGTCATACATGGCTCGAATTCCGAACGATTTTTTGTCCAAAAATCGAAATGTCGTTCGTTCTGTAATCCAATGGTGCCACCAATGATTTTGAAAATCGGTCATTTTTCACAAATTTTCCAGCATGCCCGATAAACGAAATGAGGAGGAACCACGAAAATCGGCCGATGCCATTGCCCCACTAACAGAGCGAAAATTGGCCGATTATTCTTAATTCTGATTTTCGTACAAAAATCGTTCAGAATTCGGACCATGTATGGCCTGCATTAGTGAGTTTAATTGCCACCTTAATCAGCCACACAACCTGTGTAATTAATATGTGTCTAGTTTTAAAGGGATGAGGTGGCAACCCTATCTTCGGCCACTTTATTAGGTACCTTGCTAGTACTGGGTTGGACTCCCTTTTACCTTCTGAACTGCCCTAATTCTTCTTGGCATAGATTCAACATGGTGTTGGAAACATTCCTCAGAGATTTTGATCCATATTGACATGATAGCATCACCCAGTTGCTGCAGATTTGTTGGCTGCACATCCATGATGCAAATCTCCCATTCCACCACATCCCAAAGCTGCTCTATTGGATTGAGATCTGGTGACTGTGGAAGCCATTGAAGTATGATGCTTAATTGGTACTAAGGGGCCCAAAGTGTGCCAAGAACATATCCCCCACACCATTACACCCCCACCATCAGCCTGGACCGTTGATACAAGGCAGGATAGATCCATGGTTTCATGCTGTACGTGCCAAATTCTGACTCTACCATCTGAATGTCACAGCAGAAACTGAGACTCATTAGAGCAGGCAACATTTTCACAATCTTCTATTGTCCAATTTTGGTGAGCCTGTGCGGAATGTAGCCTCCATTTCCTGTTGTTAGCTGAGAGGAGTGTTACCCGGTGTAGTCTTCTGCTGCTGTAGCCCATCTACTTCAAGGGTTGACGTGTTGTGCATTCAGAGATGGTATTCTATATACCTGGGTTGTAACGAGTGGTTATTTGAGTTACTGTTGCCTTTCTATCATCTTGAACCAGTCTGCCCATTCTCCTCTGACCTCTGACATCAACAAGGCATTTTCCTCCACACAACTGCCGCTCACTGGATATTTTCTTTTTTTCGGACCATTCTCTGTAAACCCGAGAGATAGTTGTGCATAAAAATCACAGTAGATCAGCTGTTTTTTACATACTCAGACCAGCCAGTCTGGCACCAACAACCATGCCATATTCAAAGTCATTTAAATCCCCTTTCTTCCCCATTCTGATGCTCGGTTTGAACTTCAGCAAGCCTAAATGCCTAAATGCATTGAGTTGCTGCCATGTGATTGTCTGATTAGCAATTTGTGTTACCAAGCAATTGAACAGGTGTACCTAATAAAGAAGGCGGTGAGTGTATGTGCACAAGTAAAAGGGTGGGCTTTAACGCCCGCATACCACACTTATGCATCACTGGGCAGTCACTGTTTCTCAGCTCCCAGCACAGAGACCAAAGTGTCAAAAACAGCTCTTGGTCCCCAATAAGAACCGGTAGCCAATGGCACCGGCTTCCAATCATTTGACCACCAGGACAGCCAATCACATTAGTCACATGATTGCAAATCCTTTCTGCCCCCCCAGAACGTTTTAAAGGGATGCCAGGGCTGTAGGAAGGGATAAAAAAAATGTCTTTTTCATCTTCGTCATTGTAGCACTTGTGATTGACAATCACAGCAATCATAAATGTAAACACTTTTAGGGGTTGATTTACTAACACCAGTTTTAGTAAATCAACCCCACTGTGTTCACATTCGAGAGTTCTGCATTTCCTCTCAACATAGAGGAAAGATGATTTCAATAATGAAGGAATTCTATTAAAGTGTGCAGCATCAGATTCAAGGTGGCATTTAAATAAATGTTATTGTACAATTGTTTTATATCCCCCCTTAATGTGGATCTCATCTATATCATGTCTCTGTAGTTTGTATACGCAGGGATTTTTTTCTCAGCGAATAGCTGCAGGTACTTCTCCCTTCCAAGTCACCCCCTACCCATTTCTGAGCACTGTGTCCTGGTTCCACCCCCTAGTATTGCCCTTTTAAATGGAATACAGAACTATTATTTTTTATGGTGCTAAGTAATTTGTAGGGAATTTGTTCACGATAACAAGAAAAGCAGTAACATAGATCCCCTGCAGCCAGCAACAACAGGTGCCCACATCAACAATAGATTTGCCCAGTAACAATAAATCAACCTCAGAAACAATAGACCCCCACCAGCAACAACAGATCTTCCAGCAGCCAGCATCAATAGACCCTCCAGCAGCCAGCAACAGTAGACCCCTCCCTCAACAGTATACCTCTCCCAGCAGCAACATATCCCCCACCAGAAACAATAGACCTTCCAAGCAACAATAGACACCCTTGCATCCCTCTAGCAATATTAGATTCCCCAGCAGCCAGCAACAATAGATCACCAGCACATCCTATCAACTTTTCCATTACATTCAGTACTAGAGGTGCCGAAACAGTGTTACCCCGCGTTCCCACTGAAAAAAAGCCCAGTTTATACTAATGCTTGCACCTTCCTTATCCTGCACATTAACCCCTATGTCTCCATCCTCCCACTGTATGTACTGTACATTAACCCCCTCGCCTCCTTCTTCCTGCGCATGACCTGTACACTAATGTTGTGCTGTATTTAGTGCACCATTATTAGTTCCCATGTTTTAAAGAAACCCATGCTGAGCTAAATATGCAATCTACCATTGCGGAACACCTAAAATTTTTAATTTCCTGGCTGCTTCAGAACACAATGGTACAGCAAGAGGATTCTCCTATCCATATTGAATATGTGGATGGGGGAATCGGATCTTTTTTTTTTTTTTGAATGTATGTATTGCCAAACATTATTAGTCACTTGCCCAAACAAGCATGAAGATCATTAGAGTGAAGTCACATGCCAAGCTGTGTTCTGGATCAGCAATTGAGATCGTAATGATGCCTCTGGATAAGTATACCTGCTTACTATAGATTCCTTTAAAATGTATCTGTGGTTAAAATGTAAAATCCTCGCATCATTTATTGTATTTCAATTATTCCTAGCCTGCTCCTATTCTTCTGAGAAATACTGAAGTTTATAAACTTACTTTGTGAAGATTCCCACACATTAATTCCCTTGAATTCTGTGACATGTATTTACTATACCTTAGGCTGCTAACACGCTGATCCATTTTTCTTTTCTCTTTTGCGTTAAAAAAAGTGGAAGGAGAACATTTGACCATGTATTCCTATGGAACGCTTCACACTGATCCATTGCAGGTCCACTGCGTTTAGTAAAATCTTGCTTGCTGCATTTCTGGTGCAGGTTTAGCGCTGTAAAAAAAACTCGCCAAAAACACACCACCTCTTAAAAATACATGGAAAACACCTGCATTGTGTTTTATGAGTCACATGTCCTGTGTAGAATGCACCGCAAGGTGCCCGCTCCCTCTTCTGCTGTGATCACTTAGGCCACAGGTGTCAAACTAGTAGCCCTCCAGCTGTTGCCAAACTACAAGTCCCATGAGGCATTGCAAGATTGTCAGTTGCAAACATGACTCTCAAAAGCAGAGGCATGATGGGATTTGTAGTTTTGCAACAGCTGAAGGGATGCCAGCTTGACACTCCTGACCTAAGCGATCAGAAGCAGAAGTTGTCCTCCCTCTATGGGACCATTCACAAGGCTGAAGGCTACACAAGGCTTCTCGTGCATGCGCAGTGGGCACCCGGCTGTGAAGCCGCAAGCTGTCACAGCCAGGTACCCACACTTAGGATGGTGGCACCGGGGAGAAATGATGGCCAGTGAAAGGGGCTGCGATGAGTACACCGCTGGTTTGTGGGAGAGATGAGTGTCCGTCTTTTAAAACTCAACAGCTACAGTTTTTCTTAGCTGCTGACTTTTATATTTTGAAGGTTTGACTGGAGCTCCGCTTTAAGGAGACATGGCTGTCACAGAATTCACAGAACCTGTCTTTTGAACCACAGAAATGCTGAGAGGAGGAGTTTGAGGAGGCGGAGTTAGTACAGGAGTTACTGCTTGCAGGTAGCAAGGTACCATGGGATATGTAGTCCTTAGATATTGAAATAAAACAGCAGAGAAGAAGCTGCAAAGCATGTACGGAATCCAGGAAATTGTGGAAAGAGATGGCCAGAAAACAGGCAGAACAGAATGAAAAAGGTGATTTTTCAAGTAAGCTTGTATCGGGTTGCCAATAATAACTATTGTTTGTATTTCTGTTTCAATGCTGATGTTATACAATGAAAGTCTATGCTGTAACCATAGGATTCCTATAAGGAACAAGTTCATTTGAACAAGTGGCATTTGTCTTATTTCAATTTTGACAATTTCACTGTAAGTACCTCAATGTCAGCATATGTCCTCATTTCCTAAAAAATGTGATAAACAATAACATCATCTTTAGGGTCTACTTAAAAACATTTTTTTTTAGAGTGTTTGCAATGTCCTGCCGTTTATATATGATATGTTTCTTAATAGAAAGTAAGAAAAACTGTTTGGAGGAGATTTACCTCTGCATTATTGTCCAGCTTTCCTTCACCAAAACTCCAGCTCTGCAATAATCATTGTACCCAGGGCTTTTTTTTCTTCTCAGAGAATAGGTGCTGGAACTCGCCCTTTCCTAGTTACCCCTTGTATCTGCCCCCCACCTCTGAGCCCCCCCCCCCCCCCCCCCCCCCCCCCCCCCCCCCCCCCCCCCCCCCCCCCCCCCCCCCCCCCCCCCCCCCCCCCCCCCCCCCCCCCACTCTCCCTTGGTTCCACTGCCTACCCAACTCCGAGCACTGTCCCTTGGTTCCACCTCCGGGCACTCTCCCTTGGTTCCACCCCCTACCCACCTCTAAGCACTGTCCCTTGGTTCCACCCCCTACCCACCTCTGAGCACTGTCCCTTTGTTCCACCTCCGATCACACTCCCTTGGTTACACCCCCTACCCACCTCTGAGCACTGTCCCTTTGTTCCACCTCCGATCACACTCCCTTGGTTACACCCCCTACCCACCTCCGGGCACTCTCCCTTGGTTCCACCTCCTACCCACCTCCGGGCACTCTCCCTTGGTTCCACCCCCTACCCACCTCTGAGCACTGTCCCTTGGTTCCACCCCCTACCCACCTCTGAGCACTGTCCCTTGGTTCCACCCCCTACCCACCTCTGAGCACTGTCCCTTTGTTCCACCTTTCGATCACACTCCCTTGGTTCCACCCCCTACCCAACTCTGAGCACTGTCTCTTGGTTCCCCCCCTACCCACCGCCGAGCACTGTCCCTTTGTTTCCACCTCCTACCCACCTCCGAGCACTCTCCCTTTGTTCCACCTCCTACCCCACCTCCGAGCACTCTCCCTTTGTTCCACCTCCTACCCACCTCCAAGCACTCTCCCTTGGTTGCGCCCCCTATCCACCTCCAAGCACTGTCCCTTGGTTCCACCCTCTACACACCTCTGAGCACTATGCCTTGGTTCCACCCCCTACCCACCCCGAGCACTGTCCCTTAGTTCCACCTGACAAGGACACCCCAGTCACATCAAGCCTGACTTTAAATTTGTGCGACTTACAGTGAAGTCACACGATTTCAAAGTCGAAAGACATGCGGATTTCAGGTGCGATTTGCATGACATCTGACATAGATGTCTATGCAAATTGCACGAAAAGTAGTGCATGTACTTTAGAAATTTGACCTCTGTAATTGTGGACAATAGGGTGCGAATTTGCATACGATTTGCAAGATGCATGACATGCAAATCGCATGCCAAGTTGCACCCAGTGCAGCCTGGAAGCTGACTGGTTTCTATGCAGCTGCACCAATTTTGTATGCTCTAGTTTTTGGGTCATTTTCCAAAAGAAAGCTCTTTCTGTCTCAAAAAAAAAAAGATATAAAATGTATTTGGGTCCAGTGATGCATACGCAAATAATTGTAAGTCGAGCTATGGCAACACTGTAAAATAGCCTGGAGAGGCAGGGGGTGTAACATGCCGGGATTGAGGTGGTTAACCTGTACAGTAGATGAAATGTCTCATGCTGTATGTGAAAAGCCACATCCCCAGCGTCCCTCCAGATGTGAACGCTCCAACAGCTGTCTGAACTGCACAGTAGATGAAACATCTCATGTGCTGTGTATTTTCATGGAATCCCCAACCCAAATGAAGACACTGCACCCAGGGTAGCTGCCCCTGTTGCCCCAGCCTGGGACATCATTGCCTCCTGGTGAAGTGTATCTAACATTGTTTTCCCAATTCTCATTTGTTACAGTGTTCCCAGATACTACAGGACACATCAGTGTGGCGTGGAAAGTCCAGACAGATGATTCGCAGAGTAATCCCCAGTCAGGGTTTTTAATGCTCCTCCTCTGATCAGTGGGTTATTAATATAGGAGGGGATCACCTCTCTCCTCCACTATCTGTGGCAGCTCAGCACACACAGCACTCAGGAGGCCAGTGTGTGGCCTGGGGCTCAGCGACATCCGCACTGTGACATGACAGTCCCTGGGCTGCCACAGTACTAGCACTGCTCTGCTAATGGGGAACCTCCTGAATGGGGTCAGCTTCAAGGAACCCACCACTGTGGAGGACTGTGACTCCACCTGGGAGACAGACTCTGGGGGAGAAGAAGAGCAGGGGGATGAAGATGAGGAAGCCGAGAAGGATGGCGAAGACAGCGGAGCAGAAGAACAGGGATCAGAGGTTACAGACGGCAGCCAGGTAACAGCCCATAGCAGCATGTGCACAGCATACATGCACTTTCATGCATAGGTGCCTCCAGGCTCAGCCAGTCCTGCGTACGCTGATACTAAAAGCCAGTGTGTATACAGTACAAAGCCTCAGCTCTCTAATATGGAGTAATATGGTTAGAGAGCAGAGCAAGTAATATGCTACACAGATGGCTATCTGAGTACAGGCATGTAATGGGGAGGAAGATGACCATTCTATAACTAATTCCACATCACTGATATTTACCTCTTTATCAGATCATCAGTACTGCCTGGATTTACCGCCTGCTCATTCCCCATCGCCTATCACTTTCCCTTTGTGTTTACAGTGCACATGGCTGGATCAATAAATACACCAAAACATCAGAAACAAAAAATGTCATGATTGTACTCACTGCTACCAAAACCAACAAAACTGCATTACATACTGGATCATAACAGCAGCTGTTTTGCTGTCAGTGGAAACACTGTCACTTGTGACTTCATTGATTATACTGTTTTACCACTACAGTTTTTACTTGATGATTTATTTCACATAATAAAGGTACACCTAGATTTACAGTAAGCCTGTAGACATTGCTCCTGAGCATATACTGAGTTATGTGCATTTCTTATCACTGATGATAAGATGAAAATTTCCACCTGAATGCTATTACGACTTTGGTGTCACGTGTTTAGCTGTTATGATTGTTTCTACCTTATACGATCTTCAGTTGTTCAGCTGGAACAGCACCAACTTTTCTGATAATTATCCAGGTGCAGATTGCTGGGGCGGGTTGGAAGATCATTCAAGGGGTACTGATGCATGAACACAGCTCCCAGATTGCTGGGTCTATGATTTTTTGCACAATATGGGCAGAGAGCACCTCCCTGGACCACCCGTATCTGTCAAATGTGCCCATCGCTGTGGATAATTAAAACCATGGCAGGTCAGGCTTTCTGTTGTCTAGAGGGAGAAGTATTCGTTGGGTAATCTGCAGGCGTATGGGCAGTCGGGGGATCCTGCCATGTTAATTTGTCTGTTTCATGACCCACTGATTATACCATAGTTAACCTTTAATATAGTTCCGGTAACATATTAAGCAAATGTAATGTTTTGTTATTTACCAGGTCAAGGCCAATGACAGAGCATCTACAGTGACTATGGCATGCTGATTGTGATGTTTTTAGCTATATAAGAAATAGTCTGTACTTTTGAATTATACTTTCAACTATGTGAATACTATTCTTTTTATATAGTTGAGGTGACAGACCTGAAAGCAAGATTCTGTCCACATCTGCACATTTTATTTGCTTTGTCAGTCCATCAGAAATAGTCCTACTTGCTGCACTTTTTATGTGTGTCATGTTGAGTTCAATAGTAACGTATGTAAAACACGTCAGATATGCACCTTGATAAATACAGCCTTAGGCCATTTCTACATTTCCATGTTGTGGTAACACACGTAATATGCGTTACTGCATTGTGGTGCCTTTCATTTTGAATAGCACCCCAACTCATTAGGGCAAAAGTGTCTTATTTAGTTGTAGGCATGTTGAGGTGAACTGGCTGCCCATTCAATGAATTGGTTACCCTAATGCAGTGGTTCTCACCCTTTCTAACGCCGCGACCCCTTAATACAGTGACCTCATGTTGTGGTGACCCCCAACCATAAAATTATTTTCGTTGCTACTTCAGAACTGTAATTTTGCAGTGGGAGGAATAGTGCCCCATCATTGGTATCAGTGGGAGGACTAGCGCCCACTCATTGGTATCAGTGGGAGGAATAGTGTCCCCATCGTTGGTATCAGTGGGAGGAATAGTGCCCCATCATTGGTATCAGTGGGAGGAATAGTGTCCCATCGTTGGTATTTGGAGGAATAGTTCACTGATGTCAGTGGGAGGAATAGTGTCCCATCGTTGGTATCAGTGGGAGGAATAGTGTCCCGCCATTGGTGTCAGTGGGAGGAATAGTGCCCCATCATTGGTATCAGTGGGAGGAATAGTGTGCCCCATCATTGGTATCAGTGGGAGGACTAGCGCCCCATCACTGATGTCAGTGGGAGGAATAGTGTCCCATCGTTGGTATCAGTGGGAGGAATAGTGCCCCATCGTTGGTGTCAGTGGGAGGAATAGTGCCCCATCATTGGTATCAGTGGGAGGAATAGTGCCCCATCGTTGGTGTCAGTGGGAGGAAATAGTGCCCCATCATTGGTGTCAGTGGGGGGAATAGTGCTCCATCAATTGGTGTCAGTGGGAGGAATAGTGTCCCATCATTGGTGTCAGTGGGAGGAATAGTGCCCCATCATTGGTATCAGTGGGAGGAATAGTGTCCCATCATTGGTGTCAGTGGGAGGAATAGTGTCCCATCATTGGTGTCAGTGGGAGGAATAGTGCCCCATCATTGGTGTCAGTGGGAGGAATAGTGCCCCATCATTGGTGTCAGTGGGAGGAATATAGTGCCCATCATCATTGGTGTCAGTGGGAGGATAGTGCCCCATCATTGGTATCAGTGGGAGGAATAGTGCCCCATCATTGGTGTCAGTGGGAGGAATAGTGTCCCATCATTGGTATCAGTGGGAGGAATAGTGCCTCATCATTGGGTATCAGTGGGAGGAAAAGTGCCCCATCATTGGTGTCAGTGGGAGGAATAGTGCCCCATCATTTTGTGTCAGTGGGGGGAGGAATAGTGCCCCCATCGTTGGTGTCAGTGGGGGGAGGAATAGTGCCTATCATTGGTGTCAGTGGGGGGAGGAATAGTGCCCCATCGTTGGTGTCAGTGGGGGGAGGAATAGTGCCCCATCGTTGGTGTCAGTGGGGGGAGGAATAGTGCCCCATCGTTGGTGTCAGTGGGGGGAGGAATAGTGCCCCATCGTTGGTGTCAGTGGGGGGAGGAATAGTGCCCCACGTTGGTGTCAGTGGGGGGAGGAATAGTGCCCCATCGTTGGTGTCAGTGGGGGGAGGAATAGTGCCTATCGTTGGTGTCAGTGGGGGGGGGGAGGAATAGTGCCTATCGTTGGTGTCAGTGGGGGGGAGGAATAGTGCCTATCATTGGTGTCAGTAGGGGGAGGAATAGTGCCCCATCATTGGTGCCAGTGGGAGGAATAGTGCCCCATCGTTGGTGTCAGTGGGAGGAATAGTGCCGCATCGTTGGTGTCAGTGGGGGGAGGAATAGTGCCTATCATTGGTGTCAGTGGGGGGAGGAATAGTGCCCCATCGTTGGTGTCAGTGGGGGAGGAATAGTGCCCCATCGTTGGTGTCAGTGGGGGGAGGAATAGTGCCCCATCGTTGGTGTCAGTGGGGAGAGGAATAGTGCCCCATCGTTGGTGTCAGTGGGGGGAGGAATAGTGCCCCATCGTTGGTGTCAGTGGGGGGAGGAATAGTGCCCCATCATGTTGGTGTCAGTGGGGGGAGGAATAGTGCCTATCATTGGTGTCAGTGGGGGGAGGAATAGTGCCCCATCGTTGGTGTCAGTGGGGGGAGGAATAGTGCCTCATCGTTGGTGTCAGTGGGGGGAGGAATAGTGCCCCATCGTTGGTATTAGTGACACAAATGATGGGGCACTATTCCTCCCACTGACACCAATGATACTTACCTTGCTGACCCTGCTCCAGCCTGGGCTCGCTCTCTCCCTCTCCCATCTACAGCCTGCAGAAGCAAAATTTGCACTTACCTGTCAGCTGTCTTCCTTCTCTGGCCTCTCTCCTCTTCACTCGGTCCTGCAGCTCCCTCGATCTTCTTCGATCTGCGCGCTCTGCCGCTCGGCTCCTCCTCTCCAAGCTCCACCTCCTCGCCGGTGATTGGCCGCCTGTGTGCCTCTCCTGAGCTACAGTTCCGGTGGCCAATCAGCAGCGAGGAGGCGGAGCTGTTGAGTGATCCCGGAGGTGTGGCCAGGTTACAGGGGCAGCATATCATCCCGCCCACAGATCGCGAGACAGAGCAGCGGTGTCTCGGTTCCTAAGACCATCGGAAATATGTTTTCCGATGGTCTTAGGCGACCCCTGGGAAATGGTCGTTCGACCCCCAAAGGGGTCGCGACCCCCAGGTTGAGAACCGCTGCCCTAATGCAATGCACGTTAATATGTGACCTAATGTGTGTTAACTCACTGCAAAGAAGTAAACATTACTCTTGAGAGTGAATTACAGTATTTATTTTTTGTTGGTTTTTGTTTTGTTTTTTTATGCATTATTTATTTGTAAGATCAGTTTTTACATAAAATGTGACAGGTGAAGGGAGTACGGTATATATAAAAACAATGAGTACATCATGGTCAGGCAAATACATAAAACACACTATATATAAACAGGAAATTGTAAAGAATTGGCTTTGTTATAGGAAGTAGCAGCAGCATGACATTATCATTGAATTTACCTCCTGTCCAACACAGTTCCTTTCCTCCTCTACCATAATGACAGTATGTTATAGTCTTGTTATTGCACAGGATAATGTTGGTCTTTACCTGTTTTATAATACCTGTGTAGATAAAAATACATAAACTACCATTGCCCTCTTTCCCACTGAAAATGCCTAGCTCTCATGCTAGTCCAGTAATCCTGTCCAATGCTGCAGCTTTCCCACGCTGGCTCTAAGCCCGAGAAGTGAGTGATCACATGACCGCTGATCATTCAGTTCTCAGTCTTCAGTGAGCAGAGAGTAGTGACTGTCAGTCATCAGCTCTCTGCTCTGCCCCTCCAGTGCTCACTGGAGAGCCAGGCTGGGAAGAAGAATGATTGGCTGGCTCTGACTCTCAACAGTGCACTGAGAGGCTGAGCCAGCTGCCACTCAGGCATCTGGGTGGTTCCTGACATTAAACTGCCATTGCCCCCTTTTCCTCTGAATTTTATTTCAGGAACCACCCAGGCATTGCAGTTTTCACCATTCCATGCTTTGTCCAAAATATAAACATTTTGGCCTAAATTTTACTTTCAAATAATAAATAGCCAGATACCTAGCAATGGCATCTCATTATTTATTTTAGTTCTTTCTGAGTCACTAAACCAAAAAAAGTATTGAAGTAGAATTTTAACTTCTCTCTTTTTATTTGACTTTTCTGATATGCATACAGTATGTTTCCTAGGTCTGTAATTTAGAAAGACAAAGGGAAAGCTAGACAGTCAGCAAAACAGCCAGTCAACCAGCATTTTTCAAAGGGGCCAGCAATAACTGCCCCAGTGTTTATTTTGTTTCTGGTTTACTTACAAGAGTCAGGCATTCCTTGCCCTAACAGCATCAGGAAGCCCCAGTGTAGCATAGTGGACAATTGGCTGCACTCTCTCTATCTGCTAAATCTAAATCTAAGAATAAAAAGGAATTCAATTCATTTTCATTCAGTAAATGTTTATGCTGAATTACCCAGGATGCCAACCAAGTGACAATGTTTTCTTTAATAATATGTTATTGGAGAATGACATTGCACATCGCGTAGTACCGATCACTAGCTGTGAAAGTGAATTAACTTCCATTTATGTACTACCTTCTTCTTTGCTGTATACCAGCATGACTATTCTGGTAGAGATAATATAAGATGACTGGAAAACACTGCTAATAAGGCAATCACACATGCAGTCGCCTCATTAGTTAGTTGGGTGGAATTGCATGCGTAAAAAGGCATGAGTAAACTAGATTATTCTAAACAAACTGCCAGACTGTCCAAAAACTCAGTACTTTGAGTCACTGGCCTGGAAAAAAATATGCATCTAGTTAAATCTGTGTCTCTCAGGTCAATGACTCAGAAAACTTTGAAGCCAGAAGATCACCATGACAGTCAGGCAAGCTAGCATTTTCAAAAGGAGAAAGGAGTGCAGCTAACATACAGTATTTATTTTGGCACAATATTCTTTTATAGGAAATGTGTACTGAGAAAAATACAGGAGCTGCCATTGCTGACCTTTTTGTACTGCTAGCTTTCTAGCTGCCTCTGTCTTCAGTACTTTCAAAGTTACTGACTCGGAAAAAGCATGCACATCAGAAATTCAGGGCGAAGTCAGAACGGTTAATCTGCATACTGTTTCAAGTCTGGGGATTAGAATTTGCCAATGCCATTAATCAGCATACCAACGAGGCAACCTGCATGTTCAGAAGGATAGCAATAGCAACCTATAGTACAGATTTCCTGCAAGGTCATTGATCCCTAAATGCAAGGCCAATTTTAACAGTATCCATAGCTAATTTGCATACCTAAATATTTTTTTAGACATATGTAATCTTTCAGGACAAATCATCTTTCAGGACAGCACAAGTATGAGAGACTCCATCTACCTAAAACAGGAAACCTATCATCTGCAATGAATAAAAAGAGGACATTCTCCTAGTTTCCTCAGCATTTGTGTTTCCTAAGAAGAACTTTGAAGTGGTTTATTATTTTCCCCCAGGCCTTTGTGCTAGTTGCATGGGCCTCTGTAGTATATATTCCCCCACGATTTCAGGGACAGTGGTCCAGAAAGGCCTTGCATATCTGGGCTTTTCTTCTTTTTTTTTTTTCTAGTATCCTAGTTGTGGGACCTTCTCTCCACACAAGGCTGACGCCAGCATAAGGAGGCTTAGGCACACGCCTTAGGCAACCAGGATAGGGGGAGGTAAAATCCAAATTCCCAGCCACTTTCTGGGGATTTGGATTTTAAATAAAACTGTTTTTGTTTCCCTAATTAGGGGTGGGGGAGTGGTGCTCCTGAATATTGGAGCCCCAGAAGGCTGATCCACACCTGTGTCATCAGAATCAGTCCTTGTCCCTGACAAATGTGATGGGAGACTAGAAGTCATTTGGTTGTAGAGTTGGTCTATCAGCTCCCTCCCCCCCACTGACTACGGCTTCCACTTCTTTCCTCAAGACTGCTCCTGTGGGGTAAGGTATGGGAGTCTTCCTGCCCCAAGCCCGCTCCCACCCGGTAGCATCGAAATAACCACAGTACATTTCTGGCACTTGCAGAATGCACAGTACCCAGCACCTGAGCAACCTTAGTGTGTGTGTTCAGGTGTCCTCATGTTGCACTGTCCCCCTCCTGTCACACTGCCCCCTCTTGTCACTCTACCCTCCTCCTGTCACTCAGCCCCCCACCTGTCATACTGCCCCCCTCCTGTTACTCTGCCCCCCACTTGTCACATTGCCCCCCTTCTGTCACACTGCTGCCCTCCTGTCACACTGCCCTCCTCTTGTCACTCTTCCCCCCAGTTGTCACTATGCCCCCCAGTTGTCACTCTGCCCTCAGTTGTCACTCTGCCCACTCCTGTCACTCTGCTGCCCTCCTCTCATACTGCCGGCCTCCTGTTATACTGCCTTCTCCTGTCACACTGCCCCCTCCTGTCACACCACCCCCCTCCTGTTACTCTGCCCCCCACTTTTCACATTACCCCCCTTCTGTCACACTGCCCCTATAACGTACCTGGTGTTAGAGGCCAATGGAGAGAGGGCTTCCCTTGCGGCTAAGTTCCAGACTCCCCTGGATATGGGACAGCAGGAGTCGGGCCCAAAGTAGCACAGGTCGCCTGTAGGATTTCTGGTCAGAGATACACCAAGGAGCACAGCTGATGCACTGGAATAGAGTCTGCAGACAGATGGTGCCCGTGAGAGGTATGCAAGCCTTCAGGGAAACAGAGGACCACAGGATAGTCGGTTCAAAGCCAAGGTCAAGTGCCAGGTGGAGATTGGAGCAGATGTAGTCAATAGGATAGCCGGGGTCATACACAGAGGAGTGGGGGGAGAATATCCATTAGCCAAGCCAGGGTCAGGTCAGGAGTCAGGCAGAGAAGACAGGTCCAAGAGCAAGCCGAATCGGTAACAGGAAATCACAATAGCAAGGGAACACGGACAAAGATACTGGGGAGCCAGAGATCAACCAGCAATTTGAGGGAGTGATGGGCCTCCTTATAAAGGCCATCTGGTGCAAAACTGAGCCAAAGTGTGCGCAACTATGCGCCAGTGTGCATTCTTGTTCCGGCTCGCGTCCGTGCGCCAATGCGCATACATTTTCGCCAAAGTGCACTTCTGCGGCCAAGCAAGGTACTGGAAGGAGTGCCAGGTCTCCTAGTACCTCTGCTGTGGACAGAGCCCTGACAGCCCCCCTCCTGTCACTCTGCCCCCCACCTGTCACTCTGCCCACTCCTGTCACTCTGCTACCCTCCTGTCACTCTGCCCCTCTCCTGTCACACTGCCCCCCTCCTGTCACACTACCCTCCACCTGTCATACTGTCCCCTCCTGTTACACTGCCCCCCACTTGTCACACTGCACCCCTTCTGTCACACTGCCCCCCACCTGTCACTCTGCCCCCCTTTTGTCACTCTGCCCCCCACCTGTCACTCTGCCCACTCCTGTCACTCTGCTACCCTCCTGTTACTCTGCCCCCTCTCCTGTCACTCTGCCCCCCTCCTGTCACTCTGCCTCCTTCCTGTCACACTGCCCCCCTCCTGTCACTCTGCCCCCCACCTGTCACTCTATCCCCCACCTGTCGCAATGTCCTTCCACCTGTCACACTTTCCCCTTTCTCTCACACTGCCCACCACCTGTCACACTGCCTCCCACCTGTCACTCTGCCCCCTCTTGTCACTCTGCCCCCACCTGTCACATTTCCTACCTTCTGTCACACTGCTCCCCCCCCCCCCGGGGGACAGGGGGCAGCCAAATGTACCCTGTCTAAACAAAAATCCTTGCTC